TCCTTGCGATCTTGCTACGGTACGAAAGTGCAAAAACGCATAATCGCTCCAGCCCGCCTGGTGCGTTCCAGCCTGGGTTTCCTTTTTATGCGTTTTTGCTGCACAGTGATATTACGCTACTACAGTGGGCAATCACTGGCGACGCGCACTGGCGGGCCCGTGCGACCATGCGTTTTTGCAGTGTTTCGTACTGTAATAAGATCACTCGAAAATTTTGCTAGCTAGAAATCTCTTGTACATACTGGTCCTCGAATTTCGGGAAGTTAATTACCCACGCTATACTTGGACAGCGAACATTCCCTTCGAAATCCCAGGTTCCCAGCTTTCTCAGTTCCCAATTACCCAAATTGCAGCCAGAAAATTTCACGGGGCCGCGCGTAGCAACCACGCATGAGAGGGAGGGGGGAGGGGCTGAATTTGACAAAATTTAAGTTGTAGGTGAGTTGGGAACACTTCCTGAAAGTTTCAGCCTCCCAGCTTCGCCGGTTCCGGAGTTATTCATTTTCCCACCAAAAATTTTCACGGGGCAGTACGTGGCAGCCGCGCACATTCGGGGGCTGATTCTGATAAATTGAAGTTGTAGATGAGTTGGGGATATTTCCTGAAAGCTTCAGCCTTCCAGCTTCCCTGGTTTTGAAGTTATTCATTTTCCCGCCAAAAACTTTCACGGGGCCGTACGTAGCACCACGCATGACGGGGGGCTGAATTTGATAAATTTGAGTTGTAGATAAGTTGGGAACATTTTCTGAATGTTTCAGCCTTCCAGCCTTCTTGATTCCCGAGCTAGTGATTTTCGCGCCAGGAACCCTCAGGGGGCCGTACGCTGGAGCCACGATCCTCCGAGGGCTGAATTTGAAATCTTTGAGTTCTGCTTGGACTGGAAACATAATCCCGAAATTTCAGCTTTCTAGCTTTTCTGGTTCTCGAGTTAGCGATTTTCCCGCTAAAACTTTGAGGTGCTCGTACGCGGGGCTTAGACGTGCTTGAGGGTTGGTACCGAGGTCCTGGGGTGGCACTTGGCCGGGGAAACCACTCCCAAAATTTTGGCGCCGGAGCTTGCTTGGTGCCGAGTTGAAATACCTGGACAGACAGACAGACACACACACACACGCGCCCACACACACACACACACACACACACCAGGGCCGTCACAATATGTGTTTTTGCATATTATGCAAAAACGTATAAAAACGAATTTTGTCGAGAAGCGTGTGGTGTGTGTGTGTGTGTGCACGTATGTGGGCTAATGAAGTTTTTCATCCGCTTTTAACTCAGCAAGCAGAAAAGCTCGGAGGTTGAAATTTTGCGAGCCTATTCCCAGCATGCGTCTCATCCTTACAACATGCAATTACCGCTCACGTACGCCCGGATCCCAAATACAAAAGTCGGAAAAATATGCGAAGTTTGTGGTGGGAAAACGATTTCGGAATTCAGACAAGCTAGAAAGCTGAAATTTCACACTGATGTTCTCTGTCCATGTATGAGCTAAAAATTTCAAAGTCAACTATCACGCACGCCTACATCACAAAAACAGTCACGTCAAAGCTGGCGACTGGCACTGTGCCAGCCCAAAAACTAGTCAGGAAATAGTGAATGAGGATTTGTCAAAATACTTTTCGTTCGCCTAGGAAATCGCATACCCAAAGCGAGTTTCGATTTCACTTGCGCCGCAACTTATGACACTTCAAAGATATTTGTAGCGAAGTGGCTGTTTCGGTTATCGAATAAGCTGCGAGGCTGTAACTTTGTAAGGATATTCTCTATTCACGTGTAATCTAAATACAGCTTGAAGGCTAAATTACCTACGCAATGACAATAGAAATGCTTAATTCTATCGCAAACTCAAAAGCGAAGGCGTTTTGCCGACTTCGTAATCATTCTGTTCCAACATCCTGTGCATTTTCAAATTTGAATTTTTATGCGTTTTTGCCTATATGGAAACTGCAAAAATGCATATTGCGACGACCCCATGTATGTGTGTGTGTTTGTGTGTGTGTGTGTGTGTATTTGGCTGTCCGAGTATTTCAACGCGGCAACCAAGCAAGTTCCTGCGCCAAAATTTTGCTTGTAGATTCCCCGGCCAAAGTGCCACTCCAGAACCGTAGTACCAACTTTCACGCATGACTGGGCCCCGCGTACAAGGGGGTGAAAGTTTTGGCGGGAGAATTGGTAACTCGGGAACGAAAAAAGATAGAAAGTTGAAATTTTGAGGTTATGCTCCACGTCCACATATAACTCAAAGATTTCAAATTCAGCCTCCAGGTATGCGGGGTTCCTGTGTACGGTCCCATGAGATTTTTCGGCAGAAAAATTGCTAACTTGGGAACTAGCAAAGCTGGAAGCTGAAATTTTCAGGGAATGCTTCCAACCCAAATTCGACTTAAACTTATCAAATTCAGCCCCCAGTCGTGTGTGGTTCTCACGTACGGCTCCGCGAGATTTTTCGGCGGGAAAACGGACAACTCGGGAACTAGCAAAGTTGGGAAGCTGAAATTTTCAGGAAATGTTTCCAGCCCACGTTCGACTTGAACTTATCAAATTTAGCCCCCAGTCGTACGTGGTTCTCATGTACGGCCTCGTGAAACTTTTTTGGTGGAAAATCGTTAAATTGTTAAACCGCTAAACGGAAATTGTTTACTTCCTTTTGTGCAAAATTTACGATAATTTACGGTATTGAGCGCACAAGGTAGGTGTGAAGAAACAACCGTTCATGCAGTTAACCTAATTACTTCAAGTTTGATGCAAAAACGCACGATCACACTTGCTCGCCTGGTGCGTTCCAGCCTGGGTTTAATGAACGGCCGCCTACCGGCAAAACGACCGGTCTTCATGCAAAATTGATAAAAATGCACATTGTAGGTACACACGGCAACATGGTGCAACACTACCATCCTAACCTGTATACAGGAAAACGCCAAAACACAGGCAGCACGTGTCCACGTGTTAAACTGCAACACAAGAACCAGTCATGCTGTTTACTATCTGTCTGTTGCAAGTTTAGCGCAAGAACGCATGATGGCACCGGCAAGCTTGGTGCGTTCCAGCCTGGAGTTATTTGCATACGACCTGACCACTCCTACGTCAGCACAGGGAGCTCCTCGGTGCATTTACATTACAGTTTGTGGCTTTGCTGTGTCGCCAGATATGTTTCGCCCTTCTGTTTTAAAGTACTTTTAATATTTTCTGCACATTGGAAAAAAATTAGTAAAATAGGACCGTAGATGCAGCATAGGAAAACGAATGCGTTTTTTTACGATCAGATGCATTTTTCTTGCTCTGAGCTAATTTTGGAGGCAGTATTAACTTGCCGTGAAAAGTCAGTCACAGCGGCACCTCTCTAACGAAACAGTTTCTATTTTGCAAATTTGTAAAACAATGCTTAATGGATTTAAAGACTTACTGGATTCAGTAACACATGTCCATTTGTGGTAAACGTGCTGGCCAACCAAAGCGAACAACACCGGTTCTCCGTCTGGTCCTCCTGCAAGAATCTGAAACGAGCCAGTTTCTAGTCGTTGCCCTCATGTTGGGTTACTAGAAAAATTTATTGATGCTTAATGCTGTCTAGTATATCATACGTGACGTCTGCTACAGATTCATGTACGTTGAACGATGCCACTCAGTCTTGTCTGAACCTTCTCACCGTGGGGGAGAGGAAGAAAAGCCTTTGAAGAAAAAAGTTTGCAGCAATCAAGAATCTGATGGTAAAAAAATGGTTCAAAATTTAAGCGGAAGGGGAATAAAGTAATCCACTAGAGCGAATAATTGACAGTGACAGAATGCTGAAAAAATAGTTAAAGCGCTGTAGAAATGCCATTTCGGTACATAACATGAGTTGAATATGCTGAACTCAAAAGTCTTCATGAAGCTCCGGAAAAGTATGTAATGGAGAGGAAGAATGACGGAAGGGAACTGAAACAATGATCATTTTCCAGTTCTAGCTGATTAGGATATTGAAAGAAAATCTCATAAGTTGGCAGTGATTTTTCGAAAGCAACGTCTGATGAAAGGCGATTGGAAAAGGATAGGTAAATCCAAGTAATAGTCTAATCAGCGCACCAAGAACATTAAGAGGCTACAGAAATCATTGGTGACGCGAACCGGCGGGGTCCGTGTGATCATGTGTTTTTGCAGTATTTCGTGCTGTACTGAGATTGCTCAGGAACCCAGTAGTTAGTTGTCTATGCTGTAGTTGGACAGAAGACATTCCCTCAAAATTTCAGCCTCCCAGCTTCTCTGGCTCTCGGGTTAGCAATTTTTCCCGCCAAAAATCTTCACGGGGCCGTACATGGCAACTACGCATGCCTGGGGCTGGACTTGAAATCTTTGAGTTCCAGATGGACGGGGGACATAACCCCATAATTTTCGCTTTTCAACTTTTCTGGTTCCCGAGTTAGCGATTTTCCCGCCAAAACTTTTACCCTTTCGTACGCGGGGCCTAGACTTGCATGAGAATTGGTTCCGCAGTCCTGGAGTTGCACTTGGTCGGGGAACCCGTAGGCAAAATTTTAACGCCTGAGCTTGCTTGGGTGCCGAGTTGAAATACCCGGACAGACGCGCGCACACACACACGAACATGCACACACGCACACCATGGGTCGTCACAATATGCGTTTTTGCAATTTGCATATAAGCAAAAACGCATAAAAAGGCAAAATAATGAAATGTTACGTGAATACATTTCAGCTAAAAGGAATTTGCTGTATCATACTTCATATTTGCATACGGGCATCGCAACATCGTGCGTACGAAACACCGTTGTGATATCTGAGACAGTGATGCCAAGACTTAACGTCTTATCTGCTTCCATATAAAAGCATCGAATTGTGTAGGCTCGGTCAATCTTCGTTATAAAATTTGGCTACAATTTAAAAATTTCGATTATTTGCACGAATTTCGCTCGCATTTAATTCATTGTGTGTGTTTTTTTTATATGTAAATGCAAAAAAGCATATTGTAACGACCCCCTTATTATTGTATGTATGTATGTATGTATGTATGTATGTATGTATGTATGTATGTATGTATGTATGTACGATGTATGTATGTATGTATGTATGTATGTATGTATGTATGTATGTATGTATGTATATGTATGTATGTGTGTGTGTGCGTCTACCTGGATTTTTCAACTCAGCAGCCAAGCAAGCTCCGGCGCCAAAACTTTGCTGGTGGGTTCCCCGATCAAGTGCCACTCCAGGGCCGCGGTATCAACCCTCATGCAAATCTGGGCCCCGCGTACGAGGGGTGAAAGTATTGGCGGGAAAACCGCTAACTCGGGAACCAGAAAAGCTAGAAGGCTGAAATTTTTAGGTTATGTCCCCTGTGTCCATAGAACTCAAAAATTTCAAATCCAGTCCCCAGGCACGCATGGTTCCCATGTATGGCCCCGTGAGAGTTTCTGGCGCGAAAATCGCTAACTTGGGAACCAGGAAAACTGGGGAGCTGAAATTTTCGGGGAATGTTCCCGGCACATGTGCAACTTAACCAAATTCAGCCCCTAATTGTGTGTGGTACTCACATACGTCCCCACAAAAATTTTTGGCGCGAAAATGACTAACTCAGGAAACGGGAAAGTTAGGAGGCTGAAATTTTCAGGGAATGTTCCGAGTACATGTACAACTTAAACTGAACAAAATCAGCCCCCAGTTAACAGTGGTAATCACGCGCGGCCCCGTGAATTTTTTTGGTGAAAAAATGACTAACTCAGGAACCAAGAAAGCTGGGAGGCTGAAGTTTTCAAGGAATGTTCCCAGAACAAGCATAACTTAAAGTTATCAAATTCAGCCCCACAGTGCACGCGGTTTTCACGTACGGCCCCGTGAAAGTTTTTGGCGCGGAAATGGTTAACTCGGGAACCAG